ATTAGGGATGCACCGATATGAACATTTTGGCCAATACCGATAACGGATTATTCTTTATTTTTTGAAAGCCGATAACCGATATGTTGGCCGATAAATCTATATCCAAATTGTTATATACTTTTTGAGAGCCTGATTACAAAAAAGGTCTCCTCATTAAAAGCCACATCCCAAACACTTCAACATAAGCAGCCTAGTTTGAACGGTGTACGTTTTAAAAATATTTTTACTTTCCCATTACCAAATTTAGTCAAAGTCTTACAAATAAATAAAATAATGCATAAATAATGCAAACAAGTCACTGGACATCATTACACGTGTAAAGAATCCAAATGAATGCGCCATAGATCAATAAAACGGAATAGCCTCTGCACGGACAATAATTAAATTATTTTAATTACTAAACCATATTGTTGATGAAAATAATAAGAGAAAAATACAAGTGGTTGTTGTTATTAATAATGTATCAATGATTTTGAAAAAGTAACAAATTAATACCACTGTTTTAAATAGCAGCCGTTGAGCTGCGCGTGCTGAAGCTGAAGAGCTGAATGAACATGGTAAACTGAAGCGTTTTGCTGGCAGCTTATTTAATTCAAGGAAATGCATCCTGAGATTAATATTAATACAACATAAACATAATATTACAACTTATATATGTACAAAATGATGCAGTTATTGCGTGCTATAGTCAGAATGTGTGATCCTGTTGTGGATGCGCTCTTCCCATAACAACGCGCTGAAACACGGCAACTAAACCCATAGAATTCACAACGTTTTATTATAATAATTTTCTCATTAGAATGTTATATACACGACATTCCCAATCATAGTTATTAATGGTGTGCACTGCTGTTTGAGTTTATCACTGGTAAACTGAAGCGCTCTTTTAACTTAACCAAACGCATTCTACTGTATATGAGATAAATCAGATATACATCAAGTAAACAATATTACAATGTACAATTGCACAAAAGGCTGCAAACGAACAGCACGCATCTGAAGTGTCTCTGAAGGAAATAATGCATTATTTATCGGCTTTAAGATATCGGACAAATTTTCTTATTGGGCCGATATCGATAACAGAAAAAATGAGCATTTATCGGCCGATACCGATATGGTGGCCGATATATCGTGCATCCCTAAATTATAAGCGTGTTTATGATGTGATTTAGCCTATGCACATTTGTCCAAAAGCCTGGCAGAGTGATCACAAGATGCTATGCTAAAGTTTTGTATTGTTTTCAGAAAGGATGCACGTTCTTGTCTTTTTTTCTGTTAATTATTACGTTGCGCTGCGTGTCTGTTTTTCTTCAAAGCACCAACTTAGAATGCCTAATTTTGGTTTGATTGCTTGTGTTACATGAGAAAATAAATAATTTTGCCTACCTGATGTAATGGATTTAATGCCAGTGCGATTCGGGTCGCGACTCACGATCTTTGTCAAACGTGTCTGGTCTGGTACAGAATTAAATTCGTGCTGCTATTGGATAACGGGTCGAGTGTTCTGTTAAGTACTGCTGGTGCACGTTTACCAAACAGGACCCGTGCAGGACTCTGCTTTAAACTGCTTTGCGTCTCTCCGTCAGATAACCTCACGTGCACGATGCACCATTTATGGGTATTTCCCTAAACCGCCACACAGCTCATATATTTTTCCGCCAAGGGCTTAGAATGTAAGGATTACTAAAACGATTATTTATTTTTGATAATTATTATTTTATTTCAGTTAGTTTTTCAATAACTGTTGTTAGTTTCGTTTCGTTTTAGTTTTAGTTTTTGAATTATTTTGTCATTTTTATTTTATTTCAGTTTACGAAATTGCTTTTTCATCAATCGGTTTCGTCTTAGTTTTAGTTTTCGTTTACGAAAATAACCTTGTTATGCACACATGCAACTAGAAGCCTTTCGGACCATGAGCGAAGTTATGAAGTTGAATATGAAGATATGAAGTTAAAAGTAGGTCATCCTTGATGTTGCTCGAGATCTTTGTGTTCTGTTTTCTTCTTTTGCATTCTGTTTAGTTGCCTTTGAGCACAAGAACACATCCTGTGCTGAATGTACTCGGTTGGTTTGGAAAGAAGAAAGTACTTACTGTCTGATAAAACATTATGAAAATAAATTCCTTTTTTTGAATAATGTGCAAGGATGCATCTTGCAACATTTAATAAGAGCATAAACAGGGCCGATTTTGAGCTCCTGTTATTTTTGAATTGTAACACTGTGTACAACAAAAGTGACCTTTAGCTGTAACATTAACATTCTCTTTGCTTGCTCTGTGTGTGTCCTTCTTATTTTAGGTGTGCGCGTCAGAGAGGAGCTCCATGGCTAATGTGAGACGCATCTTCAGTGAGTCTGTGCAGAGGTCATCAGGGTCATCGGCGGTCATGTGGTCCACACGCCTACTTTTCTTCTTCGCCCTCTTCACACCCGTCACACTCGGTAATACGCGCACACACACACACACAGACAAAAGCCAATTATTTCCTCATTGTGTTGTTTTCGCCGAGATGGATAAATGAGATGTCTTACTGCTTTTATTTGATTAGTTGGCCCCCAACCTTGAAGTGCAGACTGTCAGATGAAGACGAGCCAAATGAGAGCAAAGCGCGCAGCTCTCAAATCTTCAGTGAAAATTCCACAAAGTTTTTGCGTCTTGTTAAAACTTTTGGAAACTATTAATTGAGACATCTCTTCTCGCAGCAATAAATGATTCATGAGCAATCACAGAATTTCACAACCACTGCACATCTGTTATGATCAAAACATTCACACATACGCAGAAAGGCGCTCACGCACATATGGGGGAGAGAAATTTGAAACACACAAACAAAAACAACTCCAAAGCCTTTTAATAGATAGCTGCATTTTGCCAAACACCATAGTGAAATATGAAATATAGCTGGATTATTTTCCAGTGAACGAGCCATTTTATGGGCCAATCCATAACTATAAAAATGGTGTGTGAACCTGTTAAAAGTGCAGATGTAAGAGGATCTGACAGATCAATAATCATAGATGCAGACGTCTAGACTCTCTATGTGTGTGCGCCACATGCGAGCGCGACCCCGTGTGTGCGATTCGGTCCCTCAAGGGGACCTTAAGCGTAGCGGTTTGAGCTCAGAGGACACTGGGGAATTGGCCGTTGGGGGGACGTTTTAAAAACATCAAGGCAACGTTCAACACAAGCGCTCCCTCATCGACGTTCTCTGTATCTCTGTAATGCACACATTCATTCAGCCTCCCTCCTTTTTTCTCACTGTCATCGATTGGTTCTTTTCTCTGGCACTCACCTTCCACCAGTCTCAAGGGCGCTAAAACACAGTTCCACCTCGACAGGAGCCTTCCTGCCTGCACTCGATTCTACTTAAACCAATAACCTACATTATACCCTTAAGCCATTTCAGTTCTATACATCAGCCCTGCCCACACACTCACGCACAGTCATTTCTGCTGGCCTTTGCTTTCTTTTAGAATCAGAATGGCTCTTATATGTGTGTGTGTGTGTGTGTGTGTGCGTTGTTAAATCTCAATGGAAATGATTGCGATGGCGACGGTTAAATCCTGGATCCTGATTGGATGATGATGTGGCGTCTGTCAGTGTGTGTGCTAATCGGAGGAAGCAGCAGAATATGAAATTAACTCATGCCCACAGTCAAGTGTCATTCACATCCCTGAGATTAATTTCATAAGAGCGAGTGTGTGTATGGGTGTCTGAATCTGTCTCTGTCTGTGTCTGTGTACGCATTAGAATGCAGTTTATTGTGTCGGTGTTTGTCTATGGCTATACGTCATGCGGGTAAAGGAGTGTGTTGCTACGGTAACAGGAAAGGGGTGGCGGTAAAGAATGTAATTTTTTATTTAAATGTCTGTGTGTGTCTGTGTGTAATTTAAAGAAAGGTTATTACTAAGAACATGATAACTAGATAGATGTGACTTTTGTGTGCAGATATGAGATCTTTCTATTGTATAATGAAGAATAGTTTTGCTCCCAATAACTATTCTTTTTGCTACATGCCGTCTCTCTCTAACACACTCAAAAACTGGATTATTTTATGTTTAAGAGAGAGAGTGCGTGAATGAAAGCTGAAGAACGCTCTGTTTGTGTTTAAATTGGTTTCATTCTTTGTTCAACGTAATCTTTTTCTCTCTCTTTTTTTCGCAGTTTTAAGTCGTGCTCCAGTGCCGATGGCTGTGGTGCGTCGAGAGCTGTCATGTGAGGGTTATCCTATCGAGCTGCGCTGCCCGGGCACCGATGTCATTATGATCGAGAGCGCCAATTATGGGCGCACAGATGACAAGATCTGTGACTCGGACCCCGCTCAAATGGAGAACACTCGCTGCTATCTGCCTGATGCCTACAAGATTATGGGCCTCAGGTAGAGAGATACATTCACATGCTTTGTGCTTTATTGTTGTCTCACAGGTTGTATTAATGTGTGTGTGTGTGCGCGTGTGTGTGTCAGTGCATGGCTATGTACACACTGCAGCTAAATGAGTCATTCCATCAAGGAGGACCATTTGTGTCCGCAACATCTGGTGAAATTATAAACCTACTGTAATAAAAATATTTTAATGTGATGAACATTTAAATATTTAAAAAAAATAATGTGCATTTTTATTTGGGTGTAGACAGGCATGGAAAAGAAATTCTCAGTTAATTGTATTAAAATTTATTTTTCTAAAAAAATAAATGACAGATTAACACATTTAAAAACTTTGCTGTGATACACTGTGTATTGGTTTGCCCATTCATACTGGATCAGTCACGTTTATATCAACACATTCATTTAAATTATAACAGGCTTTAATTTCATTGAATTTAAATGTGTCCATGAATTTTGATGCCTTTTGTCACATTTCTTGTTTATTTTAAAATAATAGGGAGGAAGGAATATTGTTTTATATTATTTAATATTAAATGGCACAATGAAGAGGAAATTATTGTCAGGGATTCATCACAGTCACTGCAGTCACCAGCCAGGATAATCACCCGATCACAGTCACCTGAGTTCTAATCACCCGCCCCTGCTGTCACCAATCAAGCCACACTACAAATACACACACATCACAGTCACTCACTGTCCGGTCTACCGTTCACTCCTATGGACTGTTCTGAAGACTTACCTTCTGGTTCTCCCGCGATCCTCCAACGACTCCTTGGAAGCTGTTTCACGATCTCCCACAAAACCGGCATCAGACACTCACCCTCAGAACTCAGATAAGAACCCTGGAATCCTTCACTCTGTTGACAATCTCCTGCCTTAACCTAACCTGTTCCACTCATCCACATCTTGAATCAATAAACCATACTGTCTTTCACTTACCTGTTGTATCTGGCCTTGCTTGATGACAGAAGACCGGACCAATACAAATACCTCCATGGATCCTCGACCTCCCACACCCGCAGAAGTCCTGGAGGAGCTGATAAACGCCCTGCGGGCTTCTCTGCTTCCTCCGACAACCCCCCAGTCTGCCTCTGTCAGTCCCATGGCCATGCCTGCTTCATACACGGGTGATGCAGTTGAGTGTGGCGGCTTCCTCCTGCAAGTGGCCTTGTTCATCGAGATGCAGCCGCAGAGATTTTCCACCGAATTGACTAAGGTAGCATTCTTGATATCACTTCTTAATGGAAGAGCGCTGTTGTGGGCTAAGGCCATATGGAACGCTAATAGTGCCATAATTAATTCATATGATGCTTTCACTAACCATTTCAATGAAGGCTTTGGCCACACTGCAGGAGTGCTTTCAGTGTCCGACCAGTTACTGCGGCTGCGCCAAGGCACGTCATCCATTCACGACTACACACTGCGGTTCAGAATGCTGGCAGCGACTAGCGGGTGGAATGAGGTGGCCCTAATTAGCTCTTACCGGCAAGGATTGAATCCCCAGGTACAAGCTCAAATGGCTATCTATGATGACTCCATTGGACTGGAAAGCTTCATGCAAAAGGCCAACCGAATTTCCCAGCATTTGTCCGCCTGCCACGCCACCGAAGCCGCCCACCAGTCTGTCACGCCCGGCACGGGTTCCCCAGTACCAGAGCCAATGCAAGTGGACACCTCCCGGCTCACCCCGTCGGAACGTGCTCACCATCTCGCGGCCGGTCTGTCTCTATACTCGGGAGAAGGTCACGGTCCCAGTAAGCAGGCAGCCACTCGGTTACCACCTCATCGGCCATGGGACTGCGCCATCGATTTGCTGCCTGGAGCAAAACTCCCCAAGGGTAGAGTATACCCGTTGTCCATCCCGGAGCGCAAGGCGATGGAAGAATAGAGATGGAGGCTCTTAACCAAGGATTCATCCGACCTTCCACGTCTCCACCATGGGACTGCGCCATCGATTTGCTGCCTAGAGCAAAACTCCCCAAGGGTAGAGTATACCCGTTGTCCATCCCGGAGCGCAAGGCGATGGCGGAATACATCAAGGAGGCTCTTAACCAAGGATTCATCCGACCTTCCACGTCTCCAACTGCATCTAGTTTCTTCTTCGTGGGCAAGAAGGACGGGGACTTGCGACCTTGTATCGACTATCGGACTCTGAACTCCCATATGGTGAAACTGCCCTATCCACTTCCCCTGGTCCCGGGCCGCCCTCGAGGAACTCCGTATATTCTCCAAGCTAGACCTGCGAAGTGCATACAACCTTGTTCGAATCCGGGAGGGCGACGAGTGGAAGACGGCATTCATTACACCATCTGGCCACTATGAGTAACTTGTAATGCCGTATGGGCTAGCCAACGCCCTGTCTGTCTTCCAGGAATTCATGAACGAGGTGTTCCAGGAGTTCCTCCACCGCTCTGTGATTGTCTACATCGATATACTCATTTACTCCCGGAACGTGGCCGACCATCACCAACACGTTCAGCAGGTCCTACAGAAGTTACGTCAACACCATCTCTTAAAGCTGGAGAAATGCGAATTCCATCGCCCCACGGTACATTTCCTGGGTTACATCGTCGGCCAGGAAGGGATTCAGATGGATCAGGGAAAGTTGATGCAGTCAAGGAGTGGCCTCTTCCCCAGACCGTAAAGGAGCTTCAGAGATTTCTAGGATTTGCTAACTTCTATCGTCGATTCATCAAGGATTTCAGTTCCCACACTGCTCCTTTGACTTCCATGCTCCGAGGTAAACCCAAGTCCCTGTCCTGGACCATCGGCGCCCACGAAGCTCTCACTAGACTCCGAACAGCCTTCAGCACGGCCCCCATCCTTCATCATCCTGATCCGGACATGCCGTTCGTAGCAGAAGCAGATGCCTCCACCACCGGCATTGGGGCCGTGCTGTCCCAACATTATGGTGAGCCTCCTCACCTCCAGCCTTGCGCATACTATTCTAAGAAACTGACCCCAGCGGAGCAGAATTACGACATCGGCAACCGGGAGTTGTTGGCCATCAAACTCGCCCTGGAGGAGTGGCGGCACTGGCTGGAGGGAGCAAACCATCCGTTCACAGTCATTACCGACCACAAAAATCTGCAATACTTCAGAGAAGCCAAGAGACTTTTCCCCATCGACCCTGGTCTCACCTGGGAATTGATTTTGTGACTGACTTACCCAACTCCGATGAGAATACCTGCATCTTGGTGGTTGTAGATCGGTTTTCCAAAGCCTGTAAGCTAATCCCCCTCCCAGGACTTCCAACCGCTCTCGACACTGCAGAAAGTTTATTCACTCACGTCTTCAGAAACTTCGGAGTCCCCGAGGATGTAGTCTCTGACAGGGGACCGCAGTTTATCTCCCGCGTTTGGAGGGCATTCTTCCGACTACTAGGGGTCATGGTCAACTTATCCTCAGGCTACCATCCCCAGACAAATGGCCAGACTGAGAGGAATATCCAGGAACTCTGACGTTACCTTCGGGCATACTGTCATGACGACCAACACCGCTGGAGCCGTTTCCTCCCTTGGGCCGAGTATGCACAGAATTCCCTGACCCAGACCACCCCCGGCCTCACGCCGTTTCAGTGCATACTCGGGTACCAGCCCCCACTCTTCCCGTGGACAGGAGAACCATCGGAGGTTCCAGCTGTAGACCACTGGTTCCGAGTGAGCGAGAGAGTGTGGGACTCAGCTCACCTCCATCTCCAACGTGCAGTGCGGAGGCATAAGGCCTTCGCAGATGCTCGGTGTACTTCCACTCCCACTTACCATCCAGGAGAGAAAGTATGGCTGTCCACCTGGGATCTGCGCCTCCGCCTGCCCTGTAAAAAGCTGAGTCCCCACTACATTGGTCCGTTCCCGATACAGAGGCAGATCAACAAAGTCCCCTACGAACTCCAACTCCCACCCAGGTACCGAATTCACCCCACTTTCCATGTTTCACTCCTTAAACCTCACTCTCCCTCTGCTCCAGGACCCACCAAACCCGACAAACCTCCTCCTCCAGAAATCCTTGACCAACCGTCCATCTACCTCATCCGAGACATCCTGGACTCGCGACGACGGGGTGGTCGGCTGGAGTATCTAGTAGACTGGGATGGTTATGGACCGGAGGAACGTTCTTGGGTAGCCAGGGACGACATTCTGGACCCTTTGCT